AAGAAGGTAACAATAGGTCCTAACGGGAGCAAAGAGGCATGAGGGGAAATAAAATGTCAATAAATTTTATGACGTCAATAAATTCTGCTAATTCCGTGCTCTTCGCCTTGTTCAACTTTCTTCCGGGAAAACAGTGTCTCAATTTTATGCTTTTGTTGCCACCACCATCTCTACTTTGTTTGATAAGGAGGATTACTTGTATGATCGCCTAAAGAGGAAACGGAAACAAAAAACCACCCGCAATCCATGTGGCTTTGGCCCATATTCCGGGGCAGTTGGGTTCAGGATAAAGGTGAGAGCTAGGGTTAGATTTACGATTGGAATTAGCGTCAGGATTATTGTTTAAGTTTATGTTAACTCTAGGGGTTAGGTTTAGGGTATGGCCAGGGTAGAGATTAGGGTTGCAGTGTAGTTTTATGTTGGGATTAGTGTTGGAATTAAAACACAGGAACCTTTATATCCCTACAATTTGTCGCAAGACCATCTATTTCAAGTGAGTTGGAGGTCCTTATTCTCGTGTCCCGCTTAGGCGACCATACAAGTCATCCTTACCATGTTGAGTTAAAAATGGTATTCGGGTTAAAGCTACGGCTAAGAAAAAGATGCAGGGACGGGAACACCCTGTCCCTCGGATGGTCAGACTGACTTATTTGGCCCCTTAAAGAGGACACGGGGCTATAAAGGCCTCGTTCAAGTGTGTAAGATGGCCGTGTGCATAACTCCAGGAAGGTAACTATTCTCCCGTCCTTACACTAAGCCTAACCCTAACATAAACTTAAACAGTGACCCTAATCTTTGACCCTACCCTAACTCCGACCTCATCCTAAACTTACGCCTTACAATAACCTTGAATCTAACGCTAATTTACCTTGAATTTGGCGAAGATCCACCTGTGTTCTGTGCGGTGACTATTCTCGTGTCCTATTTACAGATCCATATAAGTAGGCCTTGTTCCTCGAACTTCCCAACATAGCATTGTTTTCGGTTGAGGCATAGCCCATGGTGGGATAATTTCTCTACAGCTGCGACTGCGCAATGACCTATTCGGGGAGGTTCAGTGGTTGCACAGAACGCTTGGTGGAATACTGAAGAACCAACTGATTTCCTTACGTTGTGCGTATGTATTGCCGTGCCCGGGAAGGTATAGCTAGTTTGGTAGATAGATAGATAGATAGGTAGGTAGATTGACATTCTTACCAGAGACTTAGCTGCACGAACCTGTCATACTAATATGAGTCCACCTGACAGCTAGCTGTTTTTTGGTCCCATTAAGCGTTGAAACTCAACGGTGACATCTTGGTAACCGTCTTGATAGGTTTGAATCAAGTGAGTGTAGTCGTGGTGTTTCCTCTCAGCCGGGCTAGACTGTTTGACCTATTTTAGAGATAACATTAACGTTTTAGTACACATACCTATTAGATTTACAAATAAATCGTCTTCAACACCCACTGTTACTTAATTCCAATCCCTCCCTCTGGATGATTTTTCCTATCATACCACCAGTCCTACCCATTTGCTTTGCTTGCGCCGATTTTCAGACGGCTTGGCTTGGACTTCTTCTATATGTAGACCATATTTTGATATTTCGGTTCAACAGCAAAATAAAAACTATGACTATCGTGCATGTAGTCCGAATAAGAAAACGGAAAGCAAGAACTTCTGTTATATTGGAAAGGGGGTAGTTTTGATTTGACAGATGGGATAGACGAAACTACTAGATATCCGTATAAGAAAAGCAAAAGTTTTAATATGCCTTTAAAGCCTACAGACGCCAGCACTCTATTTGAACTGCCGAAGACTATGATCCATAAGCAGGCTGGAAAAATGAAAATGGAGAATAGTGGCTAAATATTTCGGTTGAACTGATCCCATAGCGCAATAACCAATAATAGTTAAGGAGAAAGCGTGAAGAATATATCGTTAAATCCGACTCGTGAAGATAAAATGTGCGTTAACACCGTTAGGTACCTAAAACCTAATCCTAATCACCCTAACTCTAGTCCTCCGCAGTTCTCACCTCTAGCACTAAGGTGAACGTTAACTCTTATGGTAATACGTGAAGGGGAGCGACCTAAGGGGAAGAGAGTAGGCATTTTATAGAAGTAAACATTAGTTGGACCCAAATATCTGATCCTCAACGAACCTAGTGTTGGGGTAAAAGGAAGAAGCGGATTGGTTAATATCTCCTTCATCGGACCGTTTTGGGTGTGCATCATTGCCTCTGTTCACCTCTTTGTCTAAAACGTCCCTAATGTGTAAAATAAAAGAGTTGCCTATTCCAAATCAACTAGAGCAGTCTGATGACTTGACTTCATTCCCTCGCACCCAAATTTTTATTTAGCCTCTTCTCACACGCTGGCTGAGCTCCATCTTGACTCTGGCAGTTGGTGGGACTGAGCGTAAAGAGGGTGGTG